AAGAGCAAATTTGAAGAAATTTGTTTGAAACGTTTCAAATAAACCATGAGAGCATTTCTATTTGGCTTGTGTTTTTGTAAAGATTTTGGTTTTTTAAATGTAATTTTCAACCATAATAATAATAATAACAAAGAATAGACAGGTAACAGTAAATGATAGTAAAAACAGAATACAGTGATACTAATAATGTAGAGACAGCCACACTAGACTGAAATCCCAGGCACTTGATACTAATTTATTATGTTACTTTTTACTTTTATAATAAGGCTAATTGGGTGCAAATAAAAATACTTTTTCATATGCATAGTGGTAAAGCAGAAAGAAAACACGAATTCACATAAATAGCAATTCAGTTTTACATGTGCAAGTAACAATAAATGGTAAAATAGAGAGGTGTTTCTGGCAACTGGTAAGAAAATAAACAACTTTTCCAACTGCAGATTATTCTCAGTGTATCATTCTCTATTGACAGGGATAAATCAAAGGATTGAAAGGCAAAGCTCAGATGCCAACATAGGTTTGCTTTCTCTCTCTCACTGTGTCTGTTTTGACCCACAGCCAGGAGCTCTCAGTCATGCCCCAGGGTACATACTCTCAGGCTAATAAATAGCATTTTAGGTTTTGGGAGCTCTATAGCCACCCTATTGGGCCTAGAAGGCACTTGGTAGCATCTCGGTGTGCAAAATTATTCTGTTTAAGAGGAAGGCAGGTTTAAGTATCAAGGCTAAGTTTTAAGTATGAGCTTCTTAACCCCAGCCCTTTTTCAATTAGCAGGACAGAAATAACCCCACTTCACATTTTCACAAATGTCACTCTTTTTCCAGGCAAAGGTTTGTAGCCATGATGAAAGAAAAAGCACTAAACCACAGGGACCTTGTTTTGTTTAAACTGTCTTCCTGCAAGTGATATTTCATGTAAGAAACACGTTTTAGTGGTACTGGCACTGCAAAGCAGTACATATAATGGTGGAGCTGGTTAAACTTCTGGATAATGCAGAAAGTGTGATACTTTGGAGATGACCATGCAGAAAGAGGAGGCATTCTGCAAACAGTTACCAACTAAACTAGTTTCATTAGCTATTAACTGCCCTTCCGGGGGGCAAAATAAGTATATAAAGGTTATGCGACTTGGTGTACATCCATTCCTCTGGAGTAGATCTAAGGCCCTAGGGAAGGAGGTACCTACAGGTTGAGGCAGCAGCTACATCATGGTTATAAAGACATGAGAGTGCCAAAAATGTCAGCTTGGCTGCCCAAAAAGGATTCCGGCATCCTCTGCTAAGTGAACATAAGGAACTCGCAGAGGGTGAATCGAGAACCAGAAGGTTGGAAAAATGAAAGGGAACTATCATTCTGTGACTTGCAGCTGGTTAGGAGCTGAAAGCCATTGCAGTTCCTGCTCGTTTTCTGCCATGATTAAACATAAGTTGGTCTGTTTGGTGATGTGCAGGCTGGGGAACAGCGCTGTGCTCACACAAAGGGGAAGGCAAGTGGGAGCACACGGCTCAAATGGTGAAAAACAGTGTGCAAATATGCTTTGACTATACCCTCTAAAACAGCTTTTGACTCAAACTCCAGTTGATACAGGTTTCTCAGCTTTTCATGACCAAGGTGTGCTTCAGGAACAGGTAACCGTAGGCAAATGAACAGGCTCTGCAAGATTAGATCCCAGGGAGTGGAAGGAAACAAAACAAAACTCCCAAACAGAAGTATTGGAAAAGTAACCAACCCAAAGAGGGGCAAAAGGAGAAGAAAAAAAAAAAAAAAAAAAAAAAACCAACCAGCATGAGCTTGCGAATACACATGAAAATAGATTCTGGCTGGGATTTTAGTTTTCTTGCATTGCTACAGCAAATGCTCCCTAAATTTTGCTGAAGTTCTGCTGGAGACTAATTTTGTGATGGCATAAGGATAAACATAAAATGTTTGGAGTCCTCAGAAATTGATACATCAAACCAAAAGGCAGCATGGGCAGATTTATGTATCTGTTTCACTGGTTCCTTATTGCGCAGCTTCTCTCTTCATTCCCACACAGCTTAGTCTTTGCATTAACACCAGAAAAATCTTTCCTGACAAGGCATTCTTAAAGCCTGCTACCCCAAAACACAGCAAAGCCACCGCGAGGGGACCAGGCGTGGGGAAGTAAGGCTGCATCTCACCCAGGGCTGTCGCTACCATGAGCAAAAGGAGCTTTAGGGCAGTGAGTGGGGTGAGCAGGAGACACTGGCAGCTGGAAGGAGCTAGAGAAAAGGAAGTGGGATAGACAGAAAAAGAAACACGCACTGGCTGGAAAGAGCTTGGGAAGGCGGGGGGAAATTGTACCCAGGTGCCAAAATATGCAATTTAACCCCATGCACAAAAATTTACTTCTTCTGCGAGGACACAGTAAAAATATATACATGTTTACATACACATAAATACACAGAATTCCAAATAAATTATCTATTTCCAAGCTTTTTTTCAACTTGAAATTTCAGGAAATTACCATCCTGTACCCACAGACCAAATTTATCTTTTGAAGATTATAAAAAGCCACACTCGCCTTTCTTAGCTAAGGGGGCACTACCTCCTTCACAAGTTAACTCTGTTAATTGATTATTCTGCTCTTCACTGTCCCCAGACAAGGCCCTTTTCACAGAGGCAGAGAGTAAAGAGCAGATATTTCTGGGAGAAGATTTATTTGTAGCAATGACAGTGCTAGAACAAGTGGTTTTACTTGATCACCTCAGCGTATGTGCCAAGGCTGCCCTAAATGACACTAAAGCTTTTTTGAGAGTGCTCTTAAATTGAGTGAAATTAACATTTTTATTAATAGGGCTACCTAAAATTTGCTGCTTCCTTTTAGATGCATACAAAAACTTACATGCACAAAGACTGTACATGAGACGAGACAAGCAGAATAGGGCTCCCACCTGCTTTGTTTTGTGGATGGAGAGAGCATGGCTCCAAAATATAATCTTATAACATAATCCTAAGAGCAGACTATAAATACATAGATAGGTGTCCCAAAATAAGGTTTGTGCCTCAGTTTTCTAGAGCAAGTTATGATAATACCACCTGCATGTTTCAAAATATGAATAAAAAAAATCAAAGGTGCAAAAGAAATAAGAGGACAAAACACAAAGGTTTTTTTTCTTAGAAATATATTTTGTAAGAAAACAATATTAACATTACAAAGAAATGTTTATTATACAGTATAAAATAATTGCTTGAATTCAACTCTGTTTCTTATCAAAAAAGCCTCTGAGGATTTCTAGGAAGCCTTATTTTTTTCAGACCTGAGTCTTTTGCCTTCTGCAGTTCCTACTGCACTAGACAGCTTTCCCCCACATCCTCTCAGCACCCAGACTGAAACACCCCTAAAAGCTCCCCCTTAGCCCCTCTTCTCAAAAGCTGCTGTTCTCTGCCCTGATATACCCTAGACACCCATGGCAGCTCTTCCTACACCAACCCTCAGCTTCCTCCTAACTAATTTTTTTTGGCCAAGCAACTATACAAGAAACAACACTCGTAGCGACTAACTAGGAATTTTCCCATACTAACTGGTAGGCTAATAATGAGCAGTGGCCAGCCACTGACTAATAACATATAATGGCTGAGTTATTCTCAGCTGTCAGTTTTCATAAAACCTATAAGAATCTCTTAACACTGCCATTCATCTGCCACATCGGGCAGAAATGTGCAAAGAGTTAGAAGGGGAGATGGGGACAGGCACTGCAATGGCACAAAGCTGCTTTTTTTCCCCAGGAAACTAGCCTAAGAAAGTCATTACTCAGCTACAGAATTTACAATTTGGAGAATTCATTGTAGGAAGATAAATGCCTGTTCAGTAACTAGAAATACCTTAAGACATAATGTGACCTATTACATACTTTAAGTAATGCCAGCTTTGCAATGACAATTACCCTTTAGGTTTGAAAGGCACCCAGTGACCAGCATTCTGGTGTAACTATTCATGATATTGGTGTGACTTTTTTCCCCCCGATAATACTGACAAGTTTAACAGAAATCTATTAAGTTAAAAAGAACAAAGAAATATATTACATTTGCTAATTGCAAACAACCTCTTTTAGCTGCAATTTTTCCCATTGGGATTAAAAAGTGCACCAGTTTAACATGTCTGTACATTAAAAACAGTTAAATCATTAAATATACAAACTGCAAGAGATTTTAAATATTTGGTATCAAATACTATAGGACAATATAATTTACACTTTTTACACAAAACATTACACCCGAAATATAACTTTAGATATTACAGAATATAAAAATACATACTTTTGTCTAAAAAATGCTTTTGCAGGTTCTGGCACAATGTAACGCTTTAAAGGGACACAATACTTTGGCAATCTATATTTGCAATTAGCTGTGCAAGAATAAAAATGACCTGTAAATAACCTTTAAGAACTGTGAGGTCAGATCTTTCCCCTCTCCCTGGAATAGCCCTTTTAATCAGGTAAAAATTAAATTGCAGTGTTTTGGTGATCTATTTCTGCCAAGGCCAGAGTTTTCCAACCCTGGTCCAGCAAAGCAAGAACAAGCTCTACTTTAAGGATATTAAAAGCCACATCAAATCCAATGTAGTTAATTATACCTTCAGCATCTCTGCTGTCTCAGGATCAGAGTGCTCAGGACCAAGCAAAACAAGCCCCAAATGCAAACAGAGAGCCAAATTTTGCCCTGCTCTATATTTGCATCAGAACAGAAGTTCAATGAATAGCTCTGATTTCAGTTACACCAATGTAAAAGTCCTAATGACTCTAATGAAGCCAGTGGAATTACATGAGGAAAACTGGTGTAAGACTGAATCAGAACTGTGTAATTTTGTCCTTCTGTGCATTGGTGGGACTCGTGCTAGAGTTATTGCAGGGCAAAAGGTGTGTCTACAAGGCTTACACAAATGCAATGGGACCCAAGAGATTTTCAGTCACAGCTTTAAGCTGAATCTGGACAACTAACCTTTTCTTTTTTCAGGGGGTTGGAGGGGGGACTTCCCTGGGCAGAAGTTCCAGGGTAAAAATATTACTACACATTAAAGACTGAAGGATTCAGTCTAAATCTCTTACTTTAAATGCCCCAAAATAAGTTGCTTCCTGGGAGGAATCCAAGAGCAATGGGTTGGATACCTGGATACTTATCACTTCACCAGTTTTTAACTTAAAAAAACCTCCTATGTTTACAGAGTAAAAGTGAAATTCTGAATTCCCCGACCAGTATTTGGTGCTTCCTCCCTTCATCAAGACATCAGAGCGTCTTATTTTAAGGTTTGTCTTTGTCATATACACCATTAGCTGAAGCCCTCTTTTAGTCAGGTTTCCTGACGTTTCATGATGTCTAAAACAAATGTTGGCATAAAGATAGTAAAATCCATCCTGATTAACAGTTAGTTTTCCATCACGGAATGTCATGTTTGATAAGTTTGCCTGGCCCTTGTTATGATGCCAAGATGTGAGGTTCACTTTGCGCGTTCCTGAGGGAGAAAAAAAAACGTATATATATTACTTTGTATTTGCAAGCATTTTTAACAAAACTGAATGCTTAAAAAGCAATTCCTGGGTTTTCAGCATCAATAACTACACCTACAGCTCCATAAAGTGAAGTTTAAAGCTTCAAAGTATTGGACAAGTATGATAAAGATCCCTAAGAAGCATCTTTTTTTTCAATCATGTACTATCCTTTTCAGTTTGCTATCTGCAACTTTCTCCCCATCTACGAGATCAGCTAGAACAGTGTACAAAACATTTGTTTGATGAATAACTTGATTATGCTAAAGGATCATATGACAAGCAGGGTATAGAAATTGTGCTCCATCAAAAAAAGTCAAATATATTCAATATTCAAGTGAACACCTGAAAAGGATTTGGAAAAAAGATTAAAAAGTAAATCTTGTTTTTAGACTTAAAATTTTTATGCTAATATAGCATACAGACATCCAAAGATATAGGAATGAAACCTTTGCCACCTCTCATGATTCTTTTAAGTATTGTGATCTCCACAGTTTGCTCTAGGATCATTCTCCACCAACCCCAACACCCTTTTTTCAAGGCAAAACACTCTTGAGCTTTTCTACACCTTTGCCCAATTCCACAAGTTATCTCTTTATCCCTATTTTTCTACACCTGCTCTTAGGTGGGCTCTTAGGTGGGCTCTCAAAGAGGGCTCTTTGCCCTCTTTGTAAAGTATTCTAACTCTTGACACAGCACAACCTCTAATCCTGGATCCCATCTATGGCTAAGAGTCTTCAAATGTTCTCCTGGTCTTTTACAGGTGTAAGGTCTCCGGTACCTGGAAGGTGAAAAGTTACATGGAACAAGTTCTCTTTACTCCTTCCCAACTCCCCTTTCAGAGCTGGCTTTCTCTTCTAGGATGTAGTTTCTCTGGTCAAATATAATCCAGTGGCCTCCACTCTTTTCAGTCAAGAGTAATAGGACAATTAACATGACCTGTACATACCCTGAGGGGTCCGTAGCTGGATGAGGTATTCACACCCTACTTCTCTGCTCCAAATATAGGAGGTAATTAAGCCAGATGCATATGTGACAGAGCATAGGGTGACAGAGCCCTGGAACAGGCTGCCCAGAATGGTTGTGGAGTCTCCTTCTTTGGAAGTATTCAAAAGCCACCTGGATGTGAACCTGTGCCACATGCTCTAGGTGTCTCTGCTTGAGCAAGGTGCTTGGACTAGATGATCTCTACAGGCCCATTCCAATCTCAACCACTCCGTGATTCTGTGACTTAAGGCTCAATGCAATCCTTGGTTCTGGTGGATGGTTTCCCTAGATTGCCAACCCCAAGAACAGAAACTCAGATATGCCCTAAATATACCCTTTTAATGTTGGTGGGAATTAAGCATTACCTATGTCTCTGGTCTCTATTTACTTCTTTATTTACTAGCACTGTATGAACAGAAGATGGTACTACTTATAGAGCCCTAGGGCCCTCCAGCTTGATGCCTCCAACTGACTTACTACAGAAATTCAGTGATTTTGCAGCTTAACAGACAGGTCAAGAGAAGCACAGCATTCTTGATGGCAGCCACCAGTATCAAAAGAACATCTGTGGACCACATCTAGAATCGTTTGTCTGCACGATACTAAATATTAGTAGTTTAAAAGCATACTCTCCTAAAAAGCCAGCAAATTAAGTTACAGAGAAGTAAAATGCAGTAAAAATGCAGTAAAATGGAAAACAGAAAACATTTCTATCTACACTGATTATGCACACAGCAACATCTCTATCTGCTTAATTTAGCTGATATACTGCAAATGATATGAAACTTGTTTCTAATGGACATAAGGTAAGCCTTGATTCAGCCTTAACCTTGATTTTGTTTTTACTAGGTGCTTTTTCTGTGGTGCTGAAGTGAGATATTTAATCCTCAAAGGATCTTTGTCATGTTCCTCAAGGATCTTTGTCATGTAGAGTTAGCTGGAATATATTCCTTTCAAACATTTATAGCATGCATAGAATTAACCCGAAAGTTAAATTGTGGTATTTCCCAAAACAAAGTTAGTGCAACCTTCATATAGTTTATGCTCTGTTGAATGTAATGGTACAAAGGTTAAAAAAAAAAAAAAAAAAATCAACACAGCTACTGTTGTACTGTAATACAATATAACTTGCACTTCAAGTATTTATGACACAAGAAGTTGCTTAAAGCAAAGCAGTGCTTGGATCCAGTGGTCTTTCATATAGCTGAATAAGATCTCACAATCTGCTTTAGTTATATCCTATATAATTTGTCCGCTATGGCATAATACCAGTTCTTTGATCACTACACAAATATTTATAGATAGGCAATGAACTTTTATAGCTATTTAGAAAGCAAACTTGGATTGTGCATCCTCTGATGTGTAGGAGAAAGTCCTGGGAAAAGACTCCTATGAAAACAAATGTGATTTCAGATGATTTACTGTCTTTAACATAACCTAAATTGAGAACAAGAATGAGCTAGTAACCCACATTTGGAAAACAATCCCTTCCAGTGATCATAAGTGGGATACCCACAAATTAGGAAAGAAAATGACCATAATATTCTTTGTCTCCCTAAAGAATATCTTGTATGTGGGAATAAAGATAGATGCATTAGCATTACTGATGTTGACTACCAAAAAAAAGAACAGATTTTAATATAACTGACATGCAGATTAGAATTATAAAAAAAATAACCTTTAACTTGTAATGGGTACATATAAGCCTTTTCAGCTTTGCCCATGTGATGGTGGCCTTGTGTGCAAAAAGCTGCCCCTTACCTGTAAAGGACAGCGAAGGCTGCTCAGCAAAGAGAACAGCTGAGAGACTGAAAGTGTTCTTAGCATCTTGTCAGGTCCACACTGTCACTAACTTGGGAATTAGGGGCACATTAGGAACACTGGTCTGGAAAGCACTTGTCTGGATGCTATGCAGCAACCCTGTGACCTCTCTGGGGTGATCCAAGCTTCTGGTCAAGCCTCAATCCCTGCTTACATCAGCAGGAGGACAGAGGCACAATAGATATGGGACAGGAATGCACACATACAGCTACGGGAATGCACGCCGCGTCAGATGGGTGCTAAGTTTGTTCACTAAGCAGATTTTGATTGTCAGCCCCCAAATTGTCATCGATTTTGAAGAAATCCTCAGCAGAAATGCAAGTCAGAATCAATCCTTAGGTTACCTCCCTTACAGGATAGCAAACATGAAAAACATCAAGATAATAGTCTTCTGAACACTCAAGAAAACCTAAAGTAAAACCTTGATGCTAATGCACATGAACTAGAAATATTTCATATGAGTTTCAGTAAAATTGATTAGTGAGAAGGAAGAAGTTGGAAGGCCATCTGAGGAGATAGTAGCTCTGCACTAACTTATTTGCATGCTAAAAGCTTTTAAGGTATAATAACTAAAGTCTAGGGAAATGACCAAAGCTGTCTGTTCTTAAAAAAAATATTTATATATGCTTCTGGAAGAAAAGCGTAGCTGAGCCAAACCTGTAACTGTAAATAGCTTAGAAAACTCTACAGCATTTCCTTAGACAGCTAAGGATAACACATCCCAAACAACGTATTTAACATCTGCATTCACTTATGTTTGTGATTTTCTCCTCTAAACTAATTTCTGTAATCAAATCATAAACTGAAATTTGCTGTTTTCCCTTTAAACCTAGGTAGTATTTAAAGTGAGCTCTGATAAAATGCAAGCAGCAATCAATTCAGCTTTTATCAGAGACAGCAAACCTAGAAAACACATAGCACAAAAACCACTAGGGCTTGTGCAGTCAAGAGATGGGAACATCAAGGGCTGGGAAGACCCATCCCCCTTCCACACCCTTAAGGCTATAAAAGTCAATTTGGAAATTTGCAAAAGTTGAGTCATATTATTGTGAACTAGGCTAAAGCAAAGTGTTCCTTTACGGAAGCTGCTTTTCATGACTGGCAGTCAGTGAAAAACAGAAGAATAAAATCCTGTTTGACAGTAATGACAAGACTGTTTTTTTCCTGATATTTTTTATTTTGGGGGCAACAATGACAGCAGAGAACTTAATGTTAAGAATGTATCTGACCAGACCTACAGCTGGTACAAAGCAATCTGAAGTATTTCAGATAGAAACAGGAAATGAAAATAAACAAAAAATTCCCATTTGGGATCAAGGAAAAGAGGATGGGGCACAAACATGGTGCTGCTGAGGAAAATCTCTCTCAGGTACCTCAGAAGATTTTGCCAACCTTGCATTGCCTCATTCCAGTTAGTTTGATACTGAAACATCTCGCACCTCTAAGTTCAGGGTTTCAGCTACCTGTAAGGATGCAGCCCTCCCTTGCTGTAGGACCCCCAAGGACTGCAGAAGCTGTCCTCACAGCAATGCCCTGGCAATCCTCTTGTAAAAGAGCCATAAAGCTTTATGTGCCAGGTCTGGAGGGAGTTAGCCCAACTCACCAGGTCAGAAAGAGACCTCTTGTTGATCCGCTCCAAGAAGAAACAAAGCTGCTTGTTGCTATAGGCACTGTATTTCTGAGCACCCCTGTAGTCTGCGCTGTTAAGTTAGAGGCAGAGACAGACAGAACATGCACATGCAAGCTTGAGCAACTCCTCTTGCCCATAGACATACTAACAACATTTAGTCACACCCTAAAAAGTTAATGCACAGCAGTAAAAAACATCAACTGCTGTCCTTGGTAAAAATAAATTTTCCGGACCAATGTCTAGGGGTAGAACAAATAAATCTCCCACAAGAAGAGATGTATTTCACCACATGGGACACACATAACAGTGCTGTAGATGTTAAGGGACCTATTGCTATAATTAGGAAATTAATCCAGTCCTTCCAAAGACAAAATGCTAAGACAGGTTTATAGATGCTGTGACCCCTCCTGCAAATAGAAATTTGTCAAGAGGTATCCAAGTAAGCAACCCTATAAAAGCTCATGCTGCCATTTGCTTAAGCTCTCTGCTTAAATTCTGAATTTGGACAGTGCCAACACAAATGGAATGAGACACCTCCATGAAAGAAGCTCACCCACTGTGTGCAGGAGTGTTTTATCTTTAAACAGAGCAAGGTATTACTGAATATACAGAGGCATTAGCTCAGATTTCAAGCCTTAGGACAGCATTCCCCTTGGTTTTGTTGCAGAAAACAGAAAATGCATGCAAGTTCTTTAAAGCAGAGGCAATGCAGAATGTGTGCATCTGCAGAGCATGGAGACAAGAGTGAGGAGTGCTCCCTCCTAGCTTGAGATCCTCTGTGTGACACTCAAAATAAACTCTCTTACTTTTGCCACACCGGTGATGAGAACGCCTGTGTCAACAGCACAGAGAAAAATCCTACCTGATAGTGACCTGGGGCAAAGAGAAAACAGTACTGAGGTAACTTACAATTGTAAGAATTAATCTTTTGACATAGGCCCTCTTGAGTGTTTTCAAGGGCAGATTCATGATTTGTCTCTTCATACTATCCCAGCCATACCATACCAAAGCCATCCCAAGACACTCCTGTGAGTAGAGACAGAGTCGTATCAAGACAGGAAGATGCCACCCCTTGCTTGTACCCAGTAGGGCCTACTCAGTAAGTCAGAAACATGCTGCATCCAAGTCAATGCACTGGCCAAACTCCAGTGCAGCAACTGCTGCCTTCACTATTACAAGACTAGGTGTAGACACACACTCTTGAAGCTCTAGTGTGTCTGAAAGGCCCTGGGGTAAGCTTCATATGGAAGTCATAGCCTGTAGCCACACCACAACAAAATCCTTTCTGCAATGGAAAAAAATGTTGTAAGTTCACCCCTATCACAGTGCACTGAGCCTACAGAGGATAGGGAACCAGCAGACAAGTTTTGGGACTGGAGCTGTACATCTTCAACAACTCAAAAATGACAGATGACCAAGACACCTTAAAGACTCAAGGAAAGATCCCAGCCTGCAGAACTGGAATTTTGGCCAAGGATTCTGTTGGTATATTCTCATATATACATATCTGAATCCACTGTGGGTGGAAAAACTCCAGATGGACCCTGCTGGCCAAAGGAAATAAGAAATTTCAGAGAAGAGCACTAAGGCATACTTTCAGCTGAGGACAGCAGGAAAACAGGCAGGCCGAACCTCAGAGAACACATCTTGCAACCACTGGTCATCTAACACAGGCCGTTTAGTTGCATAAGGCTCCCATGCTCATACAAAAGGGAGCTATCCTTCATCAACATCAATTCCATTGCCTTTTAAATCCTTTTGTGCATCCATGTTCACTATGAGGATCCCCCTACCCTCTTGCCATAGGGCAGAGGGGGTGGAATTAAGAAACAAGGAAGAATGGAAACAGGTTCCTGCTTGGCGTGGCAGGGGAGTTCCCGCCTGGCCCACCTCGCCAGGTATGAGACCCTGGAACTTGAAGGAGACAAATGAGGGCACAGACCAAGGTCCATCTAGGGGATGTATAGGGCAAGGCAAAGTCAAGGCATTGCCTTAAGACTGCCTCTCCTACAAAGAAAAGAAGGGTAGTTGTTGTGGGTGACTCCCTTCTGAGGAGAACAGAGGGCCTAATTTGCTGGCCAGACCCTTCCCCACAGAGAGGTCTGTTGTCTCCCTGCTAAGTTACATTGCAAAAAGGCCCCCAGCTCTTGTACCACTCTCTGACTACTACCCATTATTGCTTTCCAAGTTGGTGGCAATGAAGTTGCCAAGAGAGGCCTGAAGCCCATCAAAAGGGACTCCAGGGCATTGGGGGGATCAGCTGGGGGAGCAGGAGCAGAGGTGGTCTTTTCTATCCCCTCAGGGTCAGGGAAGGACACTGAGAGGAAGAGGAAAAGCCTCTAACAGGCTGGTGTCAGAAGCCAAATTTGGGGGTTTTCAAGCACAGGGCAGTCTTTATTGCATTGGGCCTCCTGACAACAGACAGGGTTCACCTGTCTTTTAGGGGGAAAAGAATCCTTGCCCAGGAGTTGGCAGGGCTCTTTGAGAAGGCTTTAAGCTAGGTGTGAAGGGGGTAAAACTGGAATCACCAGGGATGAGCACAGGGGCATCGTGCCAGGTTGGGGGAGAGCTCAGCAGCCCAGCTGAAGTGCATCTACACCAATGCACACAGCATAGGCAACAAACAGGAAGAGCTAGAGGCCACAGTACATTAGGAAAACTAGGGCATAGTCCCCATCACTGAAATGTGGTGGGACTGACTGTCATGACTGGAGTGCTGCAAGGGATGACTACCGGCTCTTCAGCAGGCACAGGCAAGGAAGAAAAGGAGGTGGGGTAGCAATGTATGTTAGCAAGTCCTTTGATTGCACAGAGCTCCAAGTGGGTGATGGAAAGGTGTTTATGGGTCAGGATCAGGGAGAAGGCCAACAAGGCTGATATCCTGGTGAGAGTCTGCTATAGGCCACCCAACCAGGATGAAGAGACAGATGAGGCATTCTACACGCAGCTGGCAGAAGTCTCAGAATTAGCAGCCCTTGTTCTTGTTTGTTCTTGTGGGAGACCAACTTACTGGATGTTTGTTGGAAATACAACCAGGCAGAGAGGAAACAGTCTAGGAGGTTCGTGGAGTGTGTGGGAGAAAACTTCCTATCACAGCTGATAAGAGAGAAGGATTGGTGGGAGAGGGGGTGGTCAGAGGCCGTCTTGGGCATAGTGACCACAAAATGATAGAATATTCAATTCTCAGTGAAGTCAGGAGGGGCATCAACGAAACAGCTGTGCTGAACTTCCAGAGGGCAGTTTAAACCTCCTGTTAAGGACACTGGTTGGGAGAGTCCCTTAGGAGACCGCCCTGAAGGGCAAAGGGGTCCAGGAAGGCTGGACATTTCTCAAGAAGGTAATCTTAAAGGCACAGAAGCAGCCTGTCCCCATGTGCCAGAAGACAAGCCAGAGAAGACAACCAGCCTGGCTGAATAGCCAAATATTGCTGAGACTCTTGGAGAAAAAAGAGTGTTTATCACCTTTGGAAGAAGGGGCAGGCAACTTGTGAAGAATACAGGGACACCACTAGGGTGTGTAGGGAGGAAATTAGAAAGGCCAAAACTTGGTTAGAACTCAATCTGGCCACTACTGTAAAAGACAGTGAGAAACATTTCTACAAAGACACTAACAAGGAGAGGAGGGCCAAAGAGAATCTTCATCCTTTATTGGATGCGACAGGAACACGGTCACCAAGGATGAAGATAGGACTGAGGATATTTGACTTCTTCGCCTGTGTCTTTAATACTGGAAGACATGTATGGAGAGCAGAATAACCTCCCCTCCCACCATAAGTCAAGAGGAAACAGTCAGTGACCTGCTGCTCCACTTGGACACCCACAAGTGCATAGGGCCAAATGGGATCCACCAGCGGGTTCTGAGGGAGCTGGCTGAAGTGCTCACCAAGCCGCTTTCCATCATCTATCAACTGTCCTGGTCAACACAGGAGGTCCCAGATGACCATAGACTGGCCACTGTGATGCCCATCTACAAAAAGGGTCAGATAGAGGATCCAGGCCTGTCAGCCTGACTCTGGTACCAGGAAAAGTTATGGAGCAGATCATCTTGAGGGCAATCTCACAGCATGTATTCAGCAACCAGGGGACCAGGCCCAGCCAACAGGAGTTCATGAAAGGCAGGTCCTGCCTCACCAATCTGATCTCCTCTATGACCAGGTGACCCACCTAGTGGATGAGAGAAAGGCTGTGGACATGGTCTACTTAGACATCAGTAAGGCCTTTGACACAGCCTCCCACTGCCTTCTCCTGGAGAAACTGGCAGCTCATGGCTTAGACAGATGTACCCTTCCTTGGGTGAAGAACTGACTGCTTGGCTGGGTCCAGAGAGTGGTTGTGAATGGAGCTGAATCCAGCTGGCAACTGGTCGTGAGTGGTGTTCCCCAGGGGTCAGTGTTGGGGCCAGATCTGGGGGTGCTGGTCAACAGCCAACTGAACATGAGCCAGCCATGTGCCCAGAGGGCCAAGGTCAACAGCATCCTGGTTTGTATCAGCAACAGTGTAGCCAGCAGGAGCAGGGAAGCCATCGCCCCCATGTACTCAGCACTGGTGAGGCTGCACCTCAAACATCATGTTCAGTTTTTGGTCCTTCACTGTAAGAAAGACATGGAGGTGCTGGAGTGTGTCCAAAGGGCAACAAAGCCAGTGAAAGGGCGGGAGCAGAGACCTTACGATGAGCGGCCGAGGGAGCTGGGGTTATTTAGTCTGCAGAAGAGGAGGCTCAGGGGAGACCTTATCACTCTCTACAACTACCTGAAAGGAGATTGCAGTGAGGCAGGGGTCAACCTTCTCCAAAATAACTACCAATAGGACAAGAGGAAAAGTCATCAAGTGGCACCAGGGAAGGTTCAGGTTAAACATTAGGAAGAATTCCTACACGGAAAGAGCAGTCAATCACTGAAACAGGTTGCCCGTGGAAGTGGAATCACCATCCCTGGCAGCGTTCAAGAAACGTGTAGATGAGGCACTTACGGGCATGGTTTAACACACATGGTGTTGAAGTGCTTATGGTTGGACTTGATCTCAAAGGTCTTTTCCAACCATAATGATCAAAAATTATTTCTGAAACCTCAGTCTGTTTCTGACATTGCTTAACTATTTTAACATACTCCACTATAACTGATGAACTATTCGCATACACTCCACTATTTAATATGTTTATAAGAGCATTAGAACTTTTTGGTTAAAAATGAACTTACCAGATGGAATATTCTTATCATCAATAATAAGATGGGCAAAAGGTTGCTTCTCAGGTTTACTTCTCTGGTATAGATCCATTCCTAAGCCTTGCATTGTAGCTAGAGATAAAAGAACCACATTAACTCAGGAAAAAACATGCTTGGAAAAAAAATTGAAATATTTGTTATGCATAAAGCAGTGCCTACCTTTTTCTGGTCTTGGTGGTTCTCTTTTTAAGACATTCTGTACTTCCTAAAATGAAAAAGAGAACAACTACTTTATTATTGTCTTTTTTTTCCTCAATATTGCGTATTGCAAATATGTTCCAAAAGCCCTTTCTAGGTATTGTACTTGGAATAATTCCGTGTGCATAGTGAAACAATGGCTGCCAAGACACAATTAAACAATGAGGGTCCAATTACTTGCAGTGACATAGTAACAAGAGGCAGTTCTACATAGTTCTACATTAATGCATAGTCACACTAGTGACTGAGAAGATCCAAGGTCTGCATTTCATTAGCCATGAGGAAAATGAAACCACCTCAGCCCCTCACATTCAACCAGCTACAGAACAGGTAGCAAGAGAGCTGCCAAGCTTTGCAATACCTTGTGCAATCTGCCTCAAACAACCACAAGGCCTGTACACGTTTCACTTCTGGCAAGTACAGGAGAACTAATGATTAAGGTATTTTCTCCATCTGAAATGGATCGGGCAGACCAGGTGCCAGGATTTGGACATATGTATTATTTAGAACAGTAAATGAGTTTTTACGCAAGTGACGACCATGTTACACAAAACCAAGAACAGTACTAACAGCTGACATCAGTCACTGCAAAAAAATAGCTGTCAATAATCCTCCTGTTTCCATCTTGGGGGAGGAGAAAAAAAAACACACACACACACACACCGAACAGCAATTTTCAAAGTCTAAGTAGCCCATACTCATTACAAGTTTGGTCATGGTAATAGGTTGAAGCTTCAGTTCTTCTCCAACTTCCCCCTTGATTTTCCCCAACTCAAGTTTCCAATCTGAGAAACAGGGTAATATTCTCCTTCTAGCTATTCAGATTATCTAGTACAATAAAGCTATCAAAAATAAACAGAAAGGAAACATTTTGCTGCAGATACTAAGTCATTTCTTATTTTTTGAAGCCTAAGCACAGTCCTGTGTTTTCTGTCTTTATGTTGCAAGCATTGCTTATTCTCTTACTAATTCAACACCATGCATCTTCACTATACTTCAGACAGTTGGCCAGACCAGCAGTGCTCTTCCACATTCTCAATCACGGAACTGCTTTAGAATTTGAAATTCTGCTTTGAAAACATCTCAAGTCCTGCCTTTATGTAATTTTGCAGCTACAGTGAAATCTGCAATACTTTAGCTGGTGCATTTATGTATTCTCACTTTCCCCTTTCAGTAGATGTCTGAATGTTGAACCAAAATGAAAAACCACAGCAGCATCCAAGTTGTAGTATGACTATCAAAGCATAATACTTTAGCAAAGATATGCTGATTTTACAGATAAGAATCATTAAGATACTTTCTGCTGTAGAGTTTAGGAGGAAAAGAAAAAGCAGAATTGCAACTTCAAAATAAGCAAAACCCCATGTCCGCCACCCTCCAGTTACATTCATTTCCCCTCCCCAATCTCACTACTTCAATGTCTGTTCTAGGAGCATGAACACAAAGCTCTATTCTAAGAGCTGCAAATGAGCATCGGGCTCTAGCCACATTAGAGCTCTTTCAGCTTCATCAGAAGCAGGAGGAAGCATAGCTGAGAGTACTAAGTACTGCCAGAAGTGGCAAAAGCAGTTGAGGAGAACAAACCCCCATAATGTAGAAAAGAACGAAAGATGGGCTATACTCTGTGAGGTTTCTGCATTATACCTATTCCCAATCCTTTCACTAAAAATGCAGGCTCCTGAGTTCTCTTGCTTTAAGGGAAATAATCTGGGGGATAGAATTTGCTTTTGTATCCTTTTCTTTTGGTGGATTTGACAATGCACTTGCAGTTCCAAAAAGACCTATGTAGATTTTAATCTTCTATTATCTAAGTGTGGCTTGAGCAGCCAGGGTGCAAAGAAAAGGCAGTGCTTCCTATGAAATCCAGTCTGAGCTTCTATTCAACTTTTAGTGGCCATGCTCTTCATCTACATCACCATCTAGCATTCTAAAGCACTTTAACCCATCCCCTCCCACTTCCTAGGAGCATCTCTATCCCACCCAACTAGAGACTGCATTTGACAAGAACCCTCCCCTCTAAAATCTAGGCTACTAGGCAATAAAAAAAATCCAGGTGCCATTACAACAGAAGGGAAGAGTAAAAGAGCAAGTCCAAAACTAATACACTGAGAAGAGCTGGAGTCTGGATCTTCTGTGTGCTTGCCAATGGGTGAGAAGTGGCTAGCCTGGGGATGGGCAGCAGGACCCTCTCAGCAGCCAAGTTCCCCAAGAACCGGGCTAGAGTCATGTTCTTCACTTGATTCTGTCCAGCTCAGTTATTTTTGTCATTCCCCTCTGTTCAGTGGACCAAATTTCAAACAGGAAGCTGAAAAATACATGAACTAGTCCCTAGAGAATAGAGATGGAGCTGTGGGTTTGCTCATAAAGAATGTTAACCATATTTCAATGTGTCTCGATTTTTACTTTGTTTCTACAGTTTCAACACACCAGTACACAGCCCATTCCAGAAGAGTACGTAAGTATATACACTCTGAAAGGCTAAGGAAGCCAATTTTTAGTGCTCTCTGGATGCCTGAAGATGGCCTCTTAAGGGGATTATACAAATCCTCTTGTATTCTCACAGCAAGAAAATAAGATATAGAATTTTTCAAACTTTCAAGATATCAACTGTGTTTTTAGATACCTGGACACCGAAGCATCCCATCACAACGTGCAGTACCATTACAAAAGCAGAAACAGCTCAACAGAACTTGTCACAAAGATATTACTTTAATAGCATGACAACTGCTGACAAATTACCAGTGACATCTCCTAAGACTTCCTTCCACAGAAGCATGCGCGTTGTCAAGCTGTTATTTTTAGAAAAACTGTTACACACACACAAAGAAAAATCACACCACATTGTTAGTCTTAGTCAGGTGCACTTGAACACCTATGACAACATCATGTGCTTGCTGCCACCAAGTCACCTTGCTGGCTTGCTTCCCACATTCCAACCCCTTTCATAGAGCAGTTGTTTATACAGCAAACAAGTAACCACCAAAAAAAGAACAAGAAGTATTTCTTCCTTCTTCAGAAATATGAGGGGGGGGCTAGGGAAGCTGCTAATCTTCCAAATTTTTAAAACCAAAAAGATTTTTTAAAAGCTTGGAAAAATCAGAAATTGCTCTTTCTACTGCCACAGAGCCTCAGGTCCAATTAATACCAAGAAGAGAAGTATATTATCTTGCCGGAAACTCACCAACCCGAAGAATGACGATCAGGAAATGAAAGTACACGAACCAATATTCTGAAGAAAGTTGAGATCAGTACTACCACCTCTATTCAAATGAGTAGTTCATTACCCTCAAAAAAAAAGGAATGTAAGGCTGTGCAATCAAAACCATGAAATTTTAAAAGTTTTAAAATCACCAGTGACATGTTGACTTTGTTCATACCCATGTGCACTTAGAAAATCTCCTAAGTATATAGCTCTCTTCATAAGGACTGTCCTGGAGGTCTAGCAAAAAGGCACTCAGTTGCCATGTGGGAGATCAGCTTAAGCCTGAACTCGCCAGGCTGCCCAAGGCTGGGACTACTGCCAAAAGTTACTTCATGAATTGATTCTGGGCATGTTTGTCGTTCTTTCTACTTCAGACTCATAATTGACTTCATAAGACATGTGGTTAGTGCATCTGGGCTGCCAAAGGATTTTTAAGGATATGTGCAAAAAGTACATCATTTATCTGCTTAGAAGCTTTTAGGCAATAATTAAAGTGTTTTCTACTGAGCGAGATGTTGCCTAGCAGTATATTTATCTGGGAGATCCCACCTTGCAACCCTGCTACACTGGTTTCCATAAGAGCACTTTCAAAGTCAATCCTTCAACTTAAATTTAAACACAAATCTACAGGTGTGCCAGGAAAAGAGATGAGAACCAGCATGGTAAGCTAAAATCTGTAACCAGACCATAAACTAAAGCAAAAGTTGTCTATTTTCTTTTCCTGAGCATCTTGAATTGCAAAAGCCAAACAATTGAAAAAAAAATCAAAAAACCCAAACCGTATTTCAAAGTGTTCCATTTCAGTCACCTAATATTCTGCCAACTCAAATAAGGATACCTAATTTTACACATATACAGGTTAGATTCTTCTACAGGAACAAAGTTAAAGATAGAAGACCTCCTTCCACTCACATCAGCTGCATATCCTCACATAAAAGACTAGCAAAACTGCACACAAGATTCAGCTGTATCTCTCCTCTTGGATATAGCACAGCTAATGTAAAGCACAGATTGCAAAACATGATAAAGCCTAATTTTGCCTTAACATAGCACTTCCACTTCTGTGATATATTTCTATGACACATTTGCATCTGAAAAGATGCAAATACCTTCCCAGGCATGCCTCTTTCTATCTTTCTTTAAATCTGGCTCATGAATGTATGAGGCCAAAGCAACAAGGACACAGCCCCAGCTGCTTAATATACTTTGTTGTATTCAGAGGGAACTTGGGGTCTGATTACTTTGGCAAGACAAATTTTATTCTTCTCAAACTAACGGTCATCAACCAAAACCATCATCCCTACTCACTACTTATCTTAGCCACGGGCATTGCAGCATTCAACCTCTATCCAGAATGGCAGGATACGCAGCCTTCACTAAAGCCAAGACTTTTGTTGAGTAACCAGAAGTGAATAACCGGAATACAGGGCTTCCCATCCTCTTACTGTAACAGGCTCTTTACACAGTCAAGGGAGTTGCATGAAAAAGCAGTCTAAGACATGCACAAGGAATACAGAAGTGAATGTAGTGAAAGTCTAGAAGTTGCAGGAATAAAAAAAAAATCTGCAGAACTAAATTATTTTCCTGAAATTTTAAAGGAAGTGACAAGTGAAGAGGGCAAGACAAACTCTCAGGTTTCTTATTTTGTTCAAAGAAACATCCATGCCTCAGGGATTTGTATTAAAAACAAATGTTAACACAATCAAAGCATCACATAATTAAAGTACAATTCATTCTGTGCAAAGTAAACATGAGTTCAACTTGATACTAATGCAGTTTCTTTTGTGAAAAAAATGATAGCTTTACACAGTTACAAAGCAGTATAGTAGTAGTGGACCTGGTAGACCAGGAAAAACAAGCACTACAGCACACATTCAGCACTTAAATAGCCATGACTTCATAATTAGCACTAAGCACTACTATGGATGTGCAAATAGATCAAAAACAATAATTGTCTGCAGTCAGGGGTATTGTGAGAAGTGTATTCAACTTGTCCAGGTTTCTTCGTTAGGACGGGCATTAGGACAATACCAAACTGGATGGAGTGGATGACACTCCAGGGGGCTGTGCTGCCATTCAGACAGACCTAGACAGATTGGAGAATCAGGCAGAGAGGAACCTCATGAGGTTCAACAAGGACAAGTGCAGGGTCCTACACTAGTACAGATTAGAGGTTGACCTGCTGGAAAGCAGCTGTGTGGAGAGGGATTTGGGAGTCCTGGTTGACAACAAGTTAACCACGAGGCAGCAATGTGCCCTCATGGCCAAGAAGGCCAATGGGATCCTGGCTGCAGCAGGAGAAGCGTTGCCAGCAGGGCAAGGGAGGGGATCCTGCCCCTCTGCTCAGCTCTGGTGAGGCTGCACCTGGAGTATTGGGTGCAGTTCTGAGCTCCCCAGGACAAGAGGGTTGTGGAGCTTCTAGAGAGGGTCCAGCAGAGAGCCAAGAAGATGATTAAGGGCCTGGAGCATTTGTCATATGACGACCGAGTAAGCAAGCTGGGCCTGTTTAGCCTATAGAAGAGAAGACTGAGAGGAGATCTGATCAATATATATAAATATCTGAGGGGAGAATGTAAAGAGGATGGGGCCAAACTTTTCTTGGTGGTGGCCAGTGACAGAACAAGGGGTAATGGGTACAAGCTGAAACACAGGAAGTTCCCTCTCCATGTGAGGAAGAATTTCTTTCTTGTGAGGGTGACAGAGCCCTGGAACAGGCTGCCCAGAGAGGTTGTGGAGTCTCCTTCTCTGGAGATCTTCCAAAGCCACCTGGATGCCTCCCTGTGCCATGTGCTCTAGGTGTTCCTGCTGGAACAGGGGGTTGAACTAAATGATATCTAGAGATCCCCTCTAACCTCAATCATTCTGTGATTCTGTGATATCTGTAGTTATTTCTGTTGTTTGTGTTTTAGGAACAAGCAGTCCTCCTCAACTGCTGGAAAAAAGACTGCTGCACAATGTTATCATGTTATGGTGAAGTAGTTCTGCCCACATGGGAATAGTCTGCATGGCACAGAATTGGCAAAGTATTCAAAAAACAAAAAGGAAATACTGTCCTTCAACATTCTAGGTAATCTGTCATCATATGACAAAAAGAGTGAGAAGCAAGAAGAAACAAGAGCAGATACTATCCATTCTATTTTTCAGGCAATATTTTACATGACAATGTTCCTGACTAAGAAAAGAGTCGACAGAAAACAAAGCCTGGTCTGAAAAGAGTGGGAAATTGTCCTTTGCAAACATCCAAACTGTTGGAAAACCAATATAGATGCTAACACAAAAGACTAACATTTGAACACACCCCAGTGCCAGAACGGATAATTGTTAAAATGGATAATTTTGTTAAAAAATAATGAAAATAGTTTGAATACAGGATTGGTTAACCACTACCACATGAGCAAGCACAGTATGATCTAGGACATAACTCTAAATATTATTTGAACTCCAGAAAACACTTTCTAGAACTTACCTGTAAATGCACATGTGGGAAAACTTATTAAAACTTTGACAGGTGCATGAAATAAAGGAAAAACAGCATCTATCTAGCACTTACATTCCGCACAGCGTTTTGGAGAGCCTGTTTCATACTTCCACATGAGTCAGGCATTAACTTTGCTTCTTGACTTTCAAACGGTGACTCTTGCATACTTCCTTGAGCTCTTAGAAATGTTCTGACACAGTGTGCATCTTCTTTTGAAATTCTATTAGGGTCCATCTGAAAAAAAAATATAAACACAGCCATAGTTTTAAGTGACTGCCTAACAGACATTAAAGAGCATTTGAGTCAGGGAGAATTAAACCAGCTAAAAGAACTTAACATCTACTTAAGCTCATTATCTAGATTTTCACTGTAAAAAAAAAATGAAGAAATGAACTTCTGTACAGAGAGGTTTATTTCAAGAATGAATTATCTGCTGGAGCTCTCTACTTCATTAGCCTAGACTGGACACCTGACTTAAGTTATAGAAGATAAATTCCACCTTTACAGCAAAATTGGTAAACTTTGCATGCATTTTGTTAAAAATGAAATTCATCTCATGAGTATTTGAGCAAGAAGCACATACAGCCATAACAACTATAGCCTGCAAGCTGACACACAAATGTCAAGCAGGGCAAGTTGGGAGATGTATCTAGCATGTCCATTTGAATAGGGAAAAGCACATCAGTTAACACTGAAAATATTAAATGGGCAAAGCATATTTCTGGGTGAAACAGTCATGATGATAGCACAAATTCAGAAAGACCAAATAACTATAGAAATGTAACTACAAGATACTTGTAGTGACCAATTTCTGATTGAATCAAATACTCTTCTTCTAACACACATGCTTGTCCTATCAGGTAAAAGAATTAGAATGCTGGATATTCTAAATACTGCCTTCTGAATTTCACTTTCTCCCCCTACTCCAGATCCTTACACAAAACAATTACTAACCATTTTTTATTTCAGAAACAGCTTCTTAGCAATTGCTGTCAACCTGATTTGATTCTGCTTTTACTTCAGACACTAAGGGTTGTATTCTCAAAATCCTACGTTTGCTGACGATACAAGCTGATCTAATATGACACTTGTTTCCACTTTGTGCATAATGTAACAAGGCTGAAGAGCCACCTTACATTCGAGAATTACAGAAGTTAATCTATCATTCACAGTCAAAGAGGAAATATTAAACCATTACAGAAACTGCCTGACCACTATTTGCTTTCCTTTAACATATGACTGAACAAAACAGAGTATCAAAAGAAAGATTTGCAGGATCCTGAAAACCAGGGCATATCACACATTATATCATTGACCCTACAAGTACATAAATGCTATTCTCTAATCCCAAAAGAGAACCAAGCTAACAAAAGCAAGCAGAATTTAAATCCACATCATGCAGGCAGTCATCCAACAGACACCACAGACATTTGCTGCACAGATGGCCATAGCAACAGCAAATGTTGCCTCCTCCATCACCATCCTTCTGCTGAAGGCTGTCTGATCCATGCGAACCAATGTCAGCCCACATGAACTGGTTTAGCTGGTCTCAGTTATCCTTGCAGATTTGGAATGAAACAGGTCAGGAAAGGTTCACCTGGAGATGAGGGAGCCAGAGCTTTGAGCAGAGGGGTAGCAATGACTAACAGGACAGCCTGGAAGCAGTAACATCTTCCCAGAGTGACATGACACAGCTGGATCCAAAGGAAAATCTGGGTGCAGCTCTTTGAATTAAGCACTAAAAACTACATAAACAGCCTCTAAAAATCTGTTCTAGTGAGCTAGTGTAGTGCAGCCCTGTAGCAGTTTAAACTGATGTAAAACAGCATCTCTAGGTTCCCACTCTTTTCACCATGAAATGAGTGAGAGAGTTAATAGTGAAAGTTTAAGGCAAGAGTTTTGCTAGTCTGGTTTCTTGAAGGAGTAGCAGCTTCAAAAAACTCCTTGCAGAAATCAAAAGCACTAGAGACATTAAAGGGATAAGCACAGGAATGAAGGAACAGGAAGGGAGCATTAGCTTTAACTACAGTAGAACAGCAACCTAACACAGTCTTCCTTGGTATGTTCTGCTGGTATCCAGGAACTGTCCCCCAAAAGCAGCAGTAAATGGAAGGGGGAAAAAAAAAAATCAAGCACAATATATGTTTACCAACAACTGTTAAGATTCAGAGAAAGAAAATACTGAATAATCTGGATTGGAAGGTTTGAAGGAACCTTTGGAACCTTTGAAGGTTTCCAGTCCAAACTCCTGCATGGAGCAAGGCCAATCTGGTTAGGTTAGGTCTGCTTGCTCAGGACCTTCTCTAGTCAAGTTTTGTGGTATTTCCACTCACAGTGACTTTCAGCCTCTCTGGCCAAGCTGTTCAGCATTTAAGCATTTTCATTGCAAAAAGCACTTTCTGGTGTCTAGTTGGATTTACCTTGCTGCAATTTATGCCTACACCTCTTGTTGCTTTTGCTGCAGGCTTCTGAAGAACCTGGGCCCATCTTCTCTAACTCCTCTTTAGGCACCTGGAAACAGCAATTAGCTTCCATCATCATAGTCTGTTCTACGTCTTAAAATAATCCGTTCTCCATTTCTTGTGTGCTACAGCCCCTAGCTATCACAGAGGTCCTCCACTGGGCTCTCTGCAGTTTTTGATGTCCTTCTTATACTAGTAGACTCAAAACAAGGCCAATTATTCCAGATGTGACCTCTGATGGAGGAGTTAGAGACCCAAAGGAGTTGCGGTCTTCAACAGGAGTTGAAGAAATCTGCTCCCCTCCAAACCTAACCCAGAAGTTAAGATAGGGAGCCACCATAAATAAACATTGGTATTTATTTTTGATCAGTAGATGCTACTTGTGAAAGATTATCAGTCCAGGTTGAGATTTATTAAGAGTAACCTGCTGAAATATATACAAGAAAAATGGGTTTTGCAAGACAAAGACAATGAAATTTGTAAAATCAGATTGGGTGTCCAGCCTGATAAATCATGTGTAGTGCAGACTTCAGGTGTCACCCATCAGCAATCAGTCAAATAGGTCAAACACTGTGCCAGAACAGCAACAGTAGCTTGTATAGAAGCACTTACTTGGGTGACAGCTTATCTACTGAGGGCCAAGACAGAAATCCTACCAATATCCCTGCACCTACAGGTAAAGATTGAAGGCTATAACGGAAATTTATGGTTTTTGGCAGCTTACTTTGATACTGCGCAACCCACTCTGATACAGTTGCAAGTCTCTAGCAACTTTATGTGTTTGATAAAATGATTCTTCAATCTTGGGACTAGCTAGCCTACCTGACTGCTCGCACCTTCTTCAAAGAATACCCATCATCACCATATTTCAGGCATGCAAAAAGTAATAGCTCACATTTCTAATCAGGCATTCTCAGGTATCCCCTATCTTATCTTTTACAAAAGACACTCACTAAATGGCCATGGCTGTGAAGGGATACTACCAAGCACTGAAATGAAAACTGTGGGCAAAAGACAACATCAGAAATAATTCCAAAGACATTTTTTGAAAAGGACTACTCAAGACTCAAAGTAAAATACTGGAATGGTCTACAGGGAATAGCTAGCTAACTTGTAAGGTACAGGAGGTTAGTCTTTGAAAAAAATAAAATAAAAATAAAAATGAATAAAGGACTTACAGAGACTTACAAGGTCATAAAGATGCAACATCTAGAAAAAGTACCCAGGTGCAATCAGCAATATTGAATAAGGCATTACAACTTTTTAAAGCAGCTAAATAGCCTGGAGAAAATAGCCTAAAGAGAGAGGCATAGTTTATTTTTCTACATTACTAAAATACTTTTTTTTCAGGGTCTCTAATCATTTTAGTGTTTTCTGGACTCCTTTTATCTAACTCAGGGCAAACAAAATGACTCCACCATTGCAAGTGAGACTGGACCAACTTGCAGCACTCAAATCCTAGCCCATGCACTACATCAGTCACTAGTTTACAGCTTTCACTACTGCACACAGTATTCACTGAGCCTTCTGTTGTCACCTGGAGTGCTTGAGGATTTTTGTCATCTTTTATGTTACTATCAGGTAAAACTCAGCGCAGTTTCTCCCAAATCTACGTTGTTGTACTTCAGGCAAGACTACATTGCGCCTGTCATCATGCTCTCCTAGCTTTGATAAGCAAAGTCATTTATCACCAGCTGCCAAGCTTGTCACCTCACCACTTATTTCCTTCTCAAATCAATTCACTTGCACTTAGGGGCAGTCAAAAAGTTAATTGTGCCATGACCAATCGCACAGGTTTCTAACCAAATGAATGAAAACAATCTCAGTGGCAAAGAAAGAAACACAGGCGGGAAAAAATAGGAAAAGAAAAGATAAAATAAAAGTCAGAATATTCTCTCTGAAAATTAAAGGTTTTCAGTGAGAGTTTCAATAATCTCAATTGGCAATCTTTATGGTAAAAACATTAACTTCAATTTTAAAAAATAAAATAATTTATATTGTCTGAATTACGCAGTGCTAGAATATCATCATTTCCTAATTTTTCCTCACAATAAATACTGACCATTTATATCCCTACTTATTTTTGAACTTAAGCCAACATTCAATTTAACACATATTATCACTTTTGGACACTCCGAAAAGTGTTAGTGACCATTAACAAGCTATTTTTTTCAGTCACTGTTTTGCTAGCAGGGTCCTCACATTTTTGTGGAAGTCTGAAAGGAGACTGTCCAAAAACACACTGCAGTGAGAGCCAGGATCCCACAGATGCATGAAGTGATAATAAATATATGCCTCGAGGTCACCGCATAGCAAAGTAAAAATTCTACCTTCCTGAAGAGTTTAAAGTATAACTTTTTTATGGACTTTTTAAATGGGTAAAAATGAGCAAAACTGGAGTTCCAAGTTCAATATACAAAACTCCAAAAAATGTGTTCCAGTTCAATATACAGAAATCTAGATCTCACATTTGGACTTTCAGCTTGTTCCATTGACTCCCAGTGCAGTCACCATTAGACTTGGTTTGTACTTTCACAATCTAAGTAAGGAAAGTCAATCAAAAAAAAATTAAAAGCCAGATTTTGGAAGCCTGTATTTCAGCATTCCCCTATGAAAGTCAAACAAGTGTTGGTTCTCTCATGTTATCCTGTGAGTCTGTATTACCTGATGATCTCCAGCTGCTCCATTACAAGTATCTAACTACAAAAACTGAAGTTTCCACTGCTTGTTCATTGACTATGATCAAATTTTCTCATGAGGTATGAAAAATAAGCATTTAAGAAGTACACATTTTGT